GACCGAAACTAGACCGTTCCAGGCAGCCCTTCTCTCTCTGGTGGTCTGGACTCAGTAAGAGCAGACCATCTGATACGACTCACTGCAAATCCAAAGCTGCTCTGACTAGTAAAAGCAGATCAAGTCACAGCCTGCTTTGTGGTTAAGAACAACGCAGGACAACTTGTTTACACCTACAAAGTCAGCCATGTACTTGTATATTTTGGAATTCTTCTGTTGATCTTTTGTGTTTTTATTTGTAGTTCCTTATGGGCTTGTTCTCGTATCTGAAAGCATTTCTCACCTTCAGCAACCAGGAACTGCTAGATAATTCCTCAACATAGCTTTAGAGTATGTGACCCATTAGCTCAGCCAGTAAGTCCATATTAATAAGAAGAAATAAAAAGTAGGTTTGCTCCTACATCTGTTTTGTGTCCAGCTGACATACATAGGATAACCGGAATGAAAAGAGAGTCCAGGTAGTTTTCCAGAAATCCTTCACCACTCCAGACAAAAATAATCCCTGGCTCTGGTCTTTCTGAGACTTACAACAGCATTATCTTTCCATGTAAATGGAGAAAATACTGAAGAATCACCTACAAACTGAAATAGGGTAGGAATTTGTTCTCATTTGTTTTTCTCCAAAAGTTCTTCTTTAAAAAAAATTATTTTTTCCTTAACCCAAATGTAAAAACCGATCTCTGGTCTCTTGATGCATTACACTATTATGTGAATGAAAGTAATGACAGTGAAATCTGGAAACCTGCTCCTGCTGACTCTTCTTGTACATGGATAGGAGACTTTTCAGCCAACTTTGCGCTGGGATAGCACATCACCAGGATCCAAAGAAGGAGAAAAAAAATCAATGTATCTGATATGAACGAATAAACCTATCCGACAAAGGAAAGTGGTAATAATGATTAAACCAACAGCATCAAAAAATTAATTAATTAATTTATTTTTGGCTGTGTTGGGTCTTCGTTTGCTGTGCGAGGGCTTTCTCTAGTTGCGGCGAGCGAGGGCCACTCTTCATCGCGGTGCGCGGGCTTCTCACTATCGCGGCCTCTTTTGTTGCGGAGCACAGGCTCCAGACGCGCAGGCTCAGTAGTGGTAGGCTCACGGGCCTAGTTGCTCCGCATGTGGGATCTTCCCAGACCAGGGCTCGAACCTATGTCCTCGGCATTGACAGGCAGATTCTCAACCACTGCGCCACTAGGGAAGCCCACACTTGCACTTTTTAATCAGTGTTTTTGAGAATGTTCCTCTTAAACAAATGAAGTGTTTCCCTTACTGCATGTAAGCCCCTCATTTTTTGTTCCTGTCTTGACCAGACAAGATTTATTAACTTGTGTTTCACCGTCCTTGGGCCCCACTTTACCACATGCCTCCTGGTGCTCAGACCTCAGTGCTTCTGTTTTTTGTTTGTTTGTTTTTTGCGGTACACGGGCCTCTCACTGTTGTGGCCTCTCCCGTTGCGGAGCACAGGCTCCGGACGCGCAGGCTCAGCGGCCGTGGCTCACGGGCCCAGCCGCTCCGCGGTGGGTGGGATCTTCCCGGACCCGGGCACGAACCCGTGTCCCCTGCATCGGCAGGCGGACTCTCAACCACTGCGCCACCAGGGAAGCCCAGACCTCAGTGCATTCTAAATCATTCGTGGTGCTGAATCACGAGAGTAGAATTTTAAAAACAAAACAACAACAACAACAAAGAGAGAAGAGAAGTGTTTAGGGCTTAGCCTGCAAAACTAAGAAAGCGTGATGCTGGGGAAAATTGGGGGATTCAGTTGTCTGAGTTTTTGGAGCAGCCTCAAATGCACAAGAACTGGGGCATGAGGAGGAAGGGAATTGCGAGAAGTGTGAGTTGTGTGTTGGGTCTCCTTTCTTTGCCCTCAAAGTGCAATCTTAAAGATTTGAATTCCTTTAAAATTCCTATTTGATGACTGACAGGTGGTGCTTCTTTGACTCCGATGGCCCTGGCAGAATTATGCCAAGCTCTAAACACCAGTAAAATCTCATAGTAAAGCCCCTGGGATGTAACCCCATGGCGGATGGTCCCCTAATTCAGCGTGAGCCAGTCTCAAACTCTTACCTCCTTTGGGCATTGGGGCTGGGCCAGCCTGTTGAGGAAGCCACGTCCCCAGGGTCCTCCCTGTCCACTCTAACCCTAGTGGATGCCTAGCATTGCTGCTGCTGTCCTGAAAGTCCCCGGCGATCCAAGTCCCCAGAATTATCCCTATTGATATCGAAGAGGAAATGATAACAGCCACCAGATGGCGCCAAATTGCATTTGGCCCCAGGGGGTGCGTAGCCAACCCCGACATCACACTGGAAATAATGTGACACCCCACCCCCCATCATAGGTACCACATCGTGCTGTAAATCACAGCAAATGATATGATACTGTATTTGGCCACGTTGTCCGGTTTTGATTATCCACACCCAAGAAGGAAACTGGGGGTAGCTAACAAGGAGCAGTAAACAATCCAAAGGATCAGACATTTGATGTTGGAAAGTGCCACTTCATTTCTTTGGAATATAAGTGGGCTGAATGTCCTGAGAACCCATTTCAAACAAAATACAGTAAGTCCCCTACATAGGAACGAGTTCTGTTCCGAGAACACATTCATAAGTCCAATTGTTCATAAGTCCAACAAAGTTAGCCTAGGTACCCAACTAACACAATCGGCTATGTAATACTGTATTGTAATAGGATTATAATACTTTTCAAACAAATAATACACTAAAAACAACAAACACAAAAAATAAAGAAAACATTTTTATTCTTACAGTACGGTACCTTGAAAAGTACAGTAGTACAGCACAACAGCTGGCATGGTCACATCTTTGAAAGTACTCAATGTAGGGGACTTACTGTAATAAGTTCACATTGTAGGAGAAGTCATAAAATGATCTAGTTTCTTAGATTCGAATAGATAGATTGATTCTGGCCTAATGATGGTCCCTCCCCGGCCCACTCACTCTGGTCTGCAGCCGAGTAACTGACACCGAGCATTATCCCCTTCAAATTTCCTGGGAAGCGGAAAGTAGCTCCTCAGTGGTTACAGTGCGTGAAACTCAATCAAGTGAGGGGAAACATCAACCGTGCACGTGTCTGCATCCCTTGGCTTCCCTGTGGCTGGTGGGATAACCTGAGCCCGGGCTGGTCCTGCTCCAGCTCTGCCTCCACCCGCGCTGTGAGCCTCCCTCTGCTGGTCCCAGACTCGTTAGCTAAAAGCTGCGGAGTTTGGAGTGTGTACTGCTGAGCTCTGTTCATATTTAAAGATGTGTGATTCATGCACAGCTGAGAAGGAAGGTTTTCCTGGGGGAGAAAAGATGTGTGATTCACGCATAGCTGAGATGGAAGGTTTTCCTGGGGGAGACTCTGCCAGTCCCAGGTAACGGAGAGGAGGCTACATTTCTATTACTCAGGTTACCCTCACCTCCAGAGCACATGTGATACTGTAATGTGACATCTGTGCGTTTCTTTTCCTTCAACTCTTGGGCAAGCCCTGGGAAGTCGCCAAACATCTCTGTCCCCATCTTTTATGGTTAAGGAAATTACACCAAATCACAGGGCAGTGGGACAGCAGGGCAGAGAAATGCAATCCTTCTGTTCATTGTTCATTATAGGATGCTTTTTTTGAGTGACCTCAGGAAACACCCTGAATATCGAAGTGAGTATTTCATTCAGCGAGATGGCCTGAGTGACAACTAGAACCATGGGTAACTAGCTAGCATTGTGTGGTCAGGACTATTCGATTTGGTGTTAACAACAGTCCCAAAAGGAAAGGCTGAGGGTGGGGCTGGGAATGAGGTGGGGGAGAAAGTGATGGAAACACAATAGTTTGAACCATTTTTTAAGGGGACTCAACAAAAGTCTTTAGAAAGCTGGTTAAGGAATCATTCTTTACCAGGGGGTGGTGCCCACGTGGAAACTTCATTCTCTTCAATCTGTGTTTCCTGCATCGTGCTCCACAAATATGGAATGCTGAGAAGCAGTGTGTACGGCTTCTTCAAGACCCTGGGTTTATCCTCAGATGTTTGCAGAGAGGGGCTGCAGCCTGCTCCAGTGGGAACCTCCAAGAGGGGCGCCTCACTGCGCAGAACCTTGGGCTGATCACGTCGCCCTGAAGGACAGCGCTTTGGGGAGTGGGTTCCTACAGGCCACACGCAGGCTGATCTCCCAACTAGCGGCTACATTTACTCTACAGTAGGAGACGTGTGTGTGGTTTCCTCCCTCTCAGAGGACGGATCTGCTGGGAAACAGCAACACAATTCAGAACTAAAGTTTATAGAGTGAGCACATACCCAGAAAAAGGAAGGAAGGAAGGAAAGAGGGAGGGAGGGAGGGAGGAAGGAAGAGAAAGAAAGAAAAAGAAAAGGAGGGAGGAGAAACGGAATGAAGATAAAAGCAAGGTGCAAGAAGTTAAGACAGGGGGTTGAGCTCAGCCCCCCACCAGCGCCCTGCTCCCTCCCCCCTTCCCCTCCCCCTCCCCCACAGGCACTTTGCCCTGTTCTTAGGATTAGAACACACAGGCTCACAACCTCTTTGCTTTCTTCTTTTTTTCAATGTTCTTTATTGACCCCCAGAATCTTCTCCAATAAGTTACTTTGTTCAGCATTAGCTGTGGTTAATATTTCCCTGAGAAGTCAAAGATTTCCCAGGTCTTTTCCGTGTTATACATTATCTCTCAGGGTGCCCTGTTGCCCGGGAAGATTTCTACAGATGGCTAGTCCTGTCTGTTTTATGTCAGTTCATATTAATCTCCATTTCAGAAACTTCCATCTCAGAGATCAGTGTTTTTCAGTCTCTTTCCCCCTCAGTCGTATGGAGGTGTCGCCTTAGAGGAGGCCCAAATATGCCCCCTAAGCAGGGATCTCACTTAGTCTATCAACAGACCTGTTTTCCCGTTCAATGTCTTGGTGTGTTTCATGGGCCCTAATTTCCAGTGGATGTCAGTTACAATATTGACAATTAAAACCCATGCAGAAATCAGTGTCTTTGTTTTCGCTGTCTTCCAGTGTCATCTTGCATTACAACATATAAGAAGACACCACCTCCAGTCCCACCCAGAACTACCACGAAACCTTTCATTTCTATCACAGCCCAGAGTAGCACAGAGTCGGCCCAGGACGCCTACATGGATGGACAGGGCCAGCGAGGGGATATTATCAGCCAGTCTGGACTGAGCAACTCCACGGAGAGCCTGGACAGTATGAAGGCTCTGACAGCCGCCATCGAAGCCGCCAATGCCCAGATCCACGGCCCAGCAAGTCAACACATGGGCAACAATGCTGCCACCATCACCACCGCCGCCGCCGCCACGGCCACCATCACTGCAGAGGACAGAAAGAAGGACCACTTCAAGAAGAATCGATGCCTGTCCGTTGGGATACAGGTAACAGCCTCCCTTTCTGTCCTTTGAAATAGGAGCCCAGGGAGTTCCCTGGTGGTCTAGGGGTTAGGACTCGGTGCTTTCACTGTCACGGCCTGGGTTCAATCCCTGTTTGGGGAACTGAGGTCCCACAAGCTGAGTGCCTCAGCCAAAAAAATAAATTAATTTGTTAAAAAAAAAAAACAAGAAATAGGAACCCCAAATGAAGAAATGTACACCCCCCCCCTTTTTTTTTTCCAGAAGATTCACTATCTTGCCATTTGGGATGATGTAGGACCAGACTTTCAAATTACTGGCTCTGGACTCCTGTATGTTGTGAAATGTGATTTTAAAAAATTACGGGGCTTCCCTGGTGGCGCAGTGGTTGGGGGTCCGCCTGCCGATGTGGGGGACACGGGTTCGTGCCCCGGTCCGGGAAGATCCCACATGCCGCGGAGCGGCTGGGCCCGTGAGCCATGGCCGCTGAGCCTGCGCGTCCGGAGCCTGTGCCCCGCAACGGGAGAGGCCACAACAGTGAGAGGCCCGCGTATCGAAAAAGAAAAAAAAAATTACGAAGGTGTTTTGTCAATAGACATTAGCAGCATCTTTTCTTTCCCCCCAAAATTCCAATCTTTTAAAATTGATGTATAGTTGATTAGCAGCTTTTATTTTTGTTCTCGAAATTGAATGTGGTGAGACAAGGGGAGGATAATTAAACAAACAGGAACACAATCAAACATAAAGTGTCCTCAATTCCTAATGCACATTTTGATTCTCAAAAAAGGAGTGGGCATCCAAGAACGATGTGGATGATTGGATGGTGTTACAGTGTGTTCAACGCTATTGAGTAACCATGTGAGAACAAAAATGTGAACCACTTCTCACAGACATGGGAGTGATGGCCAGTGAGACCAAAGGGAAGGAGGGTGTGGAAAGCAATAACTCCCATCACAGCATCACGAGGAAAGAATGTGCACCAGGGTCAGTGTAGTTGGGGGCTATTTAATCATGCATTTCATTAAAAAGGTAGAAACTTCAGCAGCCTTCTCAGTTTAGTTCTCTGTTTTCTGTTGCCCAATGATAAGATCAAACTGATTCTTGGTTGTTAGATGGGTTCAGCTTGGCTTACCCTGCTAGAAATTTCCTCCCGTCCATGGAGAAGTCATTCTTTCCCCCCGCTTTTGTTGTGCTGTACCGTTCTTCAGGTGCCCTTTGAATAATAACTTCCTGACGTGGTGGCCCATAAATCTATCCACGCTGAACCAACTCTAAGGCACGTCTAAGCACCAGGCGTGGGGTACGTTTTCACAACGATGATGGATGTTCACCATCCATTCTGCAGGGTCCACTTTGAAAGGACAATTAAACTTTCTCTGGTAGCAATGAGTCAAATGCTTTTTTATAACCAACAGGTTACCATGGCACGACTTGTCAAGTTTCCTAAAAGAACTTAGAGCACGGGTGCTTGGGATCAGATGACCTAGCAGGAGGCCCCGGGCCTGAAGCCAGCCTCCACCCACCCTCACCCCAAACCCAATCCCAGGAGTTAATTCCCTCCCACCACCCAGAGGATTTCAAGGGGTGGGGAAGAGCAGAGGCGGGTCTTCTGTGTTGTCCCAGGCAAATTATTTAATCCTCCTGAGACTGTTTTCTCATCGAGCCCACGTAGGATTATTTGAAGGAGGGAGTTTACAAAATCCAGCTTCCTGTAAGGCTTTCAGTTTGGGATGATGAAAAAATTCTGGGGCTTGATAGTGCTGATGGTAGCACAGTAATGGGAATGTACTTAATGCCACTGGAACTGTACATTTAAAAAGGGTTAAATGGGGGCTTCCCTGGTGGCGCAGTGGTTGAGAGTCTGCCTGGCGATGCAGGGGACACGGGTTCGTGCCCCGGTCCGGGAAGATGCCACCCTGTGAACCATGGCCGCTGAGCCTGTGCGTCCGGAGCCTGTGCTCCGCAACGGGAGAGGCCACAACAGTGAGAGGCCCGTGTACCACAAAAAAAAAAAAAAAAAAAAAAGGGTTAAATGGAGAATTTTATGTCTGTTTTACTATAATTTTTTAAAAATTCCACGTTTCTTATCTGGCATATAATTGGCACCCAGTAATGTTAGTTTTCTTCTCCTTGTTTAATGTTTAAATTTTTTCTTTATTTTACATTATTTTTTCAATAGATAATATATTCCTATGGCTCAAAATTCGAAAGTTATAAAAAGACATACAGTGACCAGCCTCTCTCCCCTTGCTATTCAATAGCCAGTCAGTTCTCCTTTCCGGAGAAAATCAATAGAACCAATATTTGCATCTCCCTGCAGGGATATTTTGCACATATTCAAGCAAATATATATTTATTCCCCTTTTTACCCAGATAGTAGCAGCATATACCTCACACTAGTCTATATCTTGCCTTTTTTCACTTAACAGTGTATTTTAAAGGTAATTATCTGTCTTACTGTTCATTTTATTTAAAAGCTTCTATCTATCGTAATCACCTCCCAGGTCTGCTGGTTGGTAGGTTACTGTCTAAATAATTCTTAGAATAAAGCATTCATGTACTATATGACATCCAACTTATATTATTATTATTTTTACCCAGTAAGATGGAACTACTCTGAAATTCACGAATAATGTTGGGGAGAAAGTCTTTGTTTCAGAGACCACCCTGCTTCTTGAATATTTGGATATTTTAATGAGCTAAAGAATTGTCCTTACTCTTCCTCCAATCATTGTTCACAGCTGTAGAAATTATATGAGAGCACTGCGTGCTTTATATGGTTGTCTCATTCTGCCTCTACAGCGGCCCTGTGGCATAGGTGGTGTTATTCTCTCTCCCCAAGAAGTGAGAACCCAAGGTCACATATCTTATGTTGACAGAGCCTAGATTGTACCTTGACATCTAATGTGACCACATTACGGTGCTTCTTTGATGGAGAATAATAAGTAAATTTAAATTTAGGATACAAAATAGTCATCAAATTTCATTACACTGTAATCTAATTTAAATCCTAATCCCCCAAATATGTGATACTAGGACCTTGGGCTCTTTCTCACAAATTACCTTTTTAGGGTCACAGTTTTCAAGCCTTTCCCAACATTTTAAATTTAATCTGTATCTAATAGTTAATATTATAATTATTTACTTTACAGCCTGTGTGAACTTAGGCCAATTACTTAATGGTTTCCTCATCTGGAAAATGAGAATAATAATAGTTGCTATTGCATCGGGTACTTTATATGTTGTAATAAAAACTGATGGATAGGGACTTCCCTGGTGGCGCAGTGGTAAGAATCTGCCTGTCAATGCAGGGGACATGGGTTCAATCCCTGGTCTGGGAAGATCCCACAAGCCGCAGAGCAACTAAGCCCATGCGCCACAACTACTGAGCCCGTGCTCTAGAGCCCACGAGCCACAACTACTGAGTCCACAAGCCACAACTACTGAGCCCGTGTGCCACAAATACTGAAGCCCGTGCACCTAGAGCCTGTGCTCTGCAACAAGAAAAGCCACCGCAATGAGAAGCCTGTGCACCACAACGAAGAGTAGCCCCTGCTCGCCGCAACTAGAGAAAACCCGCGTGCAGGAATGAAGACCCAATGCAGCCAAAAAATAAATAAATAAAATTAAAAACAAAAAACTGATGGACACAATATATGTAAAGTTCAAAGCATAGTGCCTGGCATATTAAGGGCTCAATAAATATTAGGTTTGATTGTTATTATTAGTATTATCCTCCTTTAAAATTCTGATTAGCCAAAAACACTAAAATTGTATCATCAGCCGTAGGCTTTCTCAATTTTTTTCAGGACAGAGATTTAATTAACCCTGCAACATATTTAAAATTTTTGAATGCCTCTTCATAAATTTAAGTAGATTACCCTACATACTATATAAGAGAGGTGACATTTGTCAATATTTGGCTCTAACTAAGGGGATTAAAGTCAGAGAGAGAAATTTACCTGCAATGACTAAAGCTTAAGAAGATGACAACGCTTTGATGCAAATAAGCCATGAGTTTGGACAGGTGGGGCGAGCCTGGAACAGAGTACAACGTACCTCATCCTCGGACCCCTGCTTCCTTTCTTTCTCCCTTTCCCGGTGCATTGGGCACCACGGTTCTTAAGGGGAATATCTATCGTGCACCTTTCGAAAAAATTTCATTGGGTAATTTTGAAACTACCCCAAAGTGTAAGGCTGCAGCATCGTACTTCGGCTGACATCCTGAGCATTTTTAATTTCCCTGAGTGTAGCTATACGGAACCGGTTAGAATCCCATTCAGGAAAAAGGAAGCCATGCTCGTTTCTCACACAGAGGCAGTTTCATATACCAACTTGGTTCTACAGTAATGGGACGGCTGAGAGAGCAGAAAGGGATGCAGTAAGAGGTCACCCTTGGACTAGGGGAGCAGAAGGGGAAAGACGGGGTTACCAAAACTCAGGAACTCAGAGCAGAGGCCCGTATAGCCCATCCCAGACCACTGAAGCGAGCACGGCCGGCTGGTGCCAGGCCTTGCAAGGGCTGGTGCACGCGCTCTTGGGCTTCGAAAGGGCTGGGGTTGGAGCCACAGCTGCCAGCAGAAGGTGGAAACAGGAAGGAAGCCCCCTTCCCTCCTCTGACCTTCCTTGGTTAGAACCTAATAGGAGGCCAGCGAGCAAGGAAGCCTGGGAAATGTAGCCTTCAGAGTCCTGGCCCCTGTGCCACAGAGCAGCTGGGTAGAGAAGGTGGGCTTGGGGCTTCCAGACAGTAACTAAGTCACCAGAATGAGTCACTTTGTCCGATTAATAAATAAATGTGCTATTTCCCTCAATGGGCACATGCATTCAAAAGCCCATGACGGATGTGGTGAACATATGATCTTGGTTCACGTGTTCTTCTAGTGGGAGCAACTCACAGCACTAAATATGATTCTAGAATATTTTAAAATATGTATTTTTATATAATATGTCACCAAAACTCACATCAACTACTTTTTCTGGTGCTTTTTCTGGTGTTCTAGTCCTGGGTGGGTGGGGGGAGGATATGG